GCTGGATAAGGAAGTACAAAAGAGGGCGTACGGAAACGAGCATATAAACGATTCGTCATATTCAATCACTGTAACATGAGAAGCTGCATAGCGTAGACTGAGATTCTGTGAACGTCGGCATAAAAAAGTCATATGGTTCAGCAGACCACATGATTGATACGTATGGCTAACTTAATAAAAATATTTTAGTTAACATACCGCGGGTAATCGAGCGAAGATGGCGTGAACACACTCGCTCCCCACACAGCCACTCGATGGAAGAAGATGATAGGGAGGACGAAATCACAACAGGAAGGCCACTGTGGGAACCGCGTGATAATTCACAGTGTATGGCCACTAGAGTGCAACCGACTGATTTTACGCACCGTCAAAACAATTCCACTAGCAAGTCTTTTTGACCTTTCTCTGGATTAGGATAATATAGGGAGCTCAGGTAGAGCTCAAAGCACGCACAGGGAAGTGCGTGTGAAATAATATCCAACATAACCGAGGCTGGAGTGTAAGGATTCATCTCCCATGACACAGTCACTCGCTGAATTTAAATTGCAAGGAATATGCAAGTACGTGATAATTGGTAAAGTTAGTGTATTCGGGTTAACCAAAACCCTTTTGGAAAACTAACTAAATGGTAGCACTACGATGGGACGGAGGACCAAACCTCGCCGAATATTTACTCAAAATAACATGCCGTGAGACATTCTTGGAGAATATTTGGGCAACCTACTCCGTCATGCGATTGATAGATGCGCCACCTATAACAAATGACCGATCCTTCGTTGGCAGAAACAGGAGGATTTCGGCGCTCGCGCCTTTGTTTACGTGCAATCTTTGCAGCATGAACTTGTACGGACGGTAACTATTAAGTCCCAAATCGCTTGTGAAACGCACCATAAAGAATATGCTTCCAAATGACTGTCGTTAACTCTAACTGAAATTGACGATATCAAAGAGCAGGAAATGCTGAACTCTCTACAACATCTCATAGTAAGGTCAACAAATCCATGGTACTTAGCATCGTCATCCAGCATCTTGGTGAAATTAACCGCCTAATTCCTCATATAGAATCTTCTTTAGGTAGTAATAGCATCAGTGTCATTGTCGTAAAAAGCGGAATTATATCAGATCAGTGCGAATGCCATTGCAACAGCCGAAGTTCGCGCTCAGTTCATCGCTGAGGCCTATAGCAACTAGGCCGTTTATCCTCATAAAGTTTGAAATCATAATGTTGCATTTGCGCTTTGACCTCTAGGGCCAACTTGCATGCAGCGTGATGGGGGGGAAGATCTGATGAAAGGCCAATCTACTCTATCATGAATGCAAGCAGGCATTTAGGCCACTAACACTCCGATACTCTGTCACAATTACATTTTGCGCATGGTGCTGAGAAATGTAAAGAATTTAAGTCATGTTACCGAGGCTGGCCTATAAGGACTCATCTCTCGTGGCACAGTCACTAACTGGATTAAAATGGTAAGGAAGATGCAAGTACGTCATGTTTGTAAAATCAGTGTACTCAGATTAACCAAAACCCTTTTGGAAAGCTAACTACATGGTAGCACTCAGGTTGGGCCGAGGGATCTAACCTCGCCGAAGATTTATTCAAAATAATATGGCGTGTGGCATTCTTGGAAAATATTCGGACTACCTACTCCGTCATGCGATTGATAGATGCGCCAACTATAAGAACTGGCCGATCCTTCGTTGGCAAAACCAGGAGGATGTAAGGAAAATGTAAATACGTGATAATTGGTAACGTTGGTGTATTCACATTAACCAAAACCCTTTTGGAAAGCCAAATAAATTGCAGCACTCAGGTGGGGCCAGAGGACTGTGACATTCTCGGAAGATAGTTGGGCTACCTACTCCGCCATGCGATTGATAGATGCGCCAACTATAAGAACTGACCGACTCTTTGGTCGGCCGGCCCTTCGTTGGCAAAACCAAAAGGCAGTTTCGCGCATCTGTTCACGTGAAATCTCTGCTGCATGAAACTTCACAGACGGCAGCTGTTAATTTCCAAATCGTTTGTGAGATGCGTGTTGAAGAATATGTTTCGAATTGACCGCCGTTAACTCTAAATAAAAGTTGACGATATCAAAGAGCAGGAAATGCTGAACACACTACGACATTTCATAGATAAGTCAACAAATCCATGGTACTTAGCATCGTCATCCAGCATCTTGGTTACACCAACCGCATAGTCGCCGTCATAGAATCGTCTTTAGGTAGTAATAGCATCAGCGCCATTGTCGTAAAAAGCAGAATCCCATCAGATCAGTGCAAATGCTATTGCAACAGCTGACGTTCGAGCTCAATTCTTCGTTGAGGCCTATAGCAACTAGGCCGTTTATCCTCATAAAGTTTGAAATCATAATGTTTCATTTGCGCTTTGACCTCCAGGGTTTACTTGCCTGTAGCGTAATGGAGGGGCATAACTGATGAAAAGCCAATTTACTCTATCATGAAAGCAAGCAGACATGTAGTCCTCTAACAGTCCGATACTTCGTCAAAATTGCATTTTGCACATGGTGCTGAAAAGTGTAGAGAATTTAAGTCATATTATGGTTTTATTGAAGTGTGAAGTATACTTGTAGACTTGCGAATAGTCTAACTCGCCTACCATAAACATGGACTTGGAGTCAATGCAACCACCAAAAACTTCATACACGACTGAGGCGACCGATTTATTTCTCGTTTTTTAGTAGACTGTTGGCAATGTTTGTTGTTTTCTTTCATAAATGACTATGTATTCATAGTCACGCTGCAGTGGCTGATTCCTCTTCCTACATCCTTCCCGTCAAAACAACAAGTTGAAACGGGGATCAACATTGGGAACATGGTTTGTGATCCAGTTCTAGGTGTCGTTCGTCTTCTACTCGTGATGCTGCCGACGAATTCTACTGCTGAGACCAGTGATGTAGTCGGCGTGACCCGGTAGAAACAACTGTAGTAGCAAACGTCCTCCCGTTGCTTCTTTTTAGAAAACACAAATGAACTGGGTCAGCCACTATGTCGACGGAAGTGGATGACGAGGCCGAATGCTTGAATCGCAGTAGGTGGTTCTGTTCCCCAAAAACAATTTGCGAGAAGTCATTTACTTTTGGCACTGTTTCTACAGGATGTTTCAGGTAAGAAGAATGTTCCTGCTGTCTGTACTACTAAATCGTCGTACGTGGTAGTATTCGCAAATGCGTACGTAGGCCGTGACGAGTAACGATTTCCGAGACAACTGATTATCCATGAGCTTTGCTAACAGAAACGAGGAGGCGAGTTCCAGGAAGTAATCACTAAGAAGGAGACACGATCGTTGGAACAGGCGCTTCATTAGCCTGACGTTTCAGACTCTCACTCGAATTCATCATCAGAGACAGAGACAGATAACGGTGGTAATTGGCCCAGGTGTTTCAGCATTCATAGGATGTAGTTGCTAGGCCGCTACATGCCTACCGCTGTTGGCAGCTCCCGAGTGCAACACGGCTTGACTGGCCAGGTGTTGATATATGCCGTAGCTATGCCCTTATGTGCCGGTTAAGATAATCGATTCCCACGGCAATCGAAAACCTTGACGGACACGCAAGGGCATAGCAACGGCACGGCAACTGCATGCCTCAACACCTGGCCAGCCGAGCCGTGATGCACTCGGGGGCTGCCGCAGGAGCCGTGAGTTTAATCGCATTTGGGCCTAGTTATGCACCCAGTCTACTAAAACACATGAAATCTACTAAGCCAACTGTCTAAACGGGATTTCTTAAGTAATCCACCGGATACCTAATAGGTGTTTCGGCTTCGCAAAGGCCTGCCTTTTCCATTCTGACTTCGAATTCCGCCAGGGACGCCGAGGTTTTCGCAGTTGGGTCAAAAAATAAGAAATCATATTTGTTGAACGCAATTACTGCACAGGGCATTTCTTTAACTGTGCTGGAATATGGGACTCATCTTTTTACTATCTGGTTTCTGCTTGCTAAAAGTATCCCCACATCGTACTACCTGTCTTTTTCGAATATTAAACGCGTGTGGCATTTGTTTTTATCTGTATCGATACTGAAATGGAATTTCGTAACGAAGACAAAAGGTAAACACGCATCTGTGAGATGGCTGTAACTCTCTTGTTGGTAAAATCCACACAGACATTAAGTAAGTGGTGATGATTAGCCAAAACCCAAAGAATATATTAATGCTTATAACAGGCACTTTTATGATGGCTAACCGAGCTAACGATAGTCTCCAACTTCGTGCCAGTTAACAGGGGGGAGGTTGAGATTTTAATCGCCGTATATAACAAAAGAAGTCCAACTTGTTTGGCTGTAAGGCAGCAAGGTAGGAGCAATTTCGCTTGGGAACTAAAGAGGGACGAAGAAATTGTCATTGTTCCAGCAGACAAAGGGCGCGCAACCGTAGTGCTAGACAAGTCGGAGTACGTTGCCAAAGCGCAGCAGCTACTAAACGACAACCAGTCGTATAAAGTCATCGACTCCGACCCCATGAAAGCACTGGTAGGCAAAATCAACAAGAGCCTGAACCAGATGAGGAACGAAAAGGCAATATCAGAAAAGGATTGGAGGCAGATGAAACCACAAGATGCTGCCTTAGCGCGCTTTTATGGTTTGCCAAAAATCCACAAGCTGAATGCTCCCCTATGGCCCATTGTGGCGCTGAAAGGCACGCCTACATACGGACTGGCTAAATGGCTTGCCAAACATTTGAAGAAGCTGACTGACGGCTCAGAACACACAGCCGTATCGTCAACACACTTCCTGGAAAGACTCAAAGGCGTCATAATAGCCCCCGACGAAATAATGGTATCTTTTGACGTCGTCTCTCTATTCACCTCCATCCCTAAAGATTTGGCCATGAGAGTTGTCGATGACCTACTGAAGAAAATGTACGACGAAGAAGGAAAACCTTTTAAAAGAAGGCACGCGATGGAACTACTGGACTACTGTTTACGCACGTACTTCACGTTTAACGGCCAAGTTTACGATCAAATCCAAGGAGCTCCAATGGGGTCCCCAATCTCCGGCTACCTGGCTGAGGCGGTCTTGCAGGAACTGGAAACTCGGGTCTTCCAGACCTACAGGCCGAAATTCTGGATGCGCTACGTAGACGACACCTTTGTCATCCTGCACCGAGACGCGAAAGACAACTTTAAAAGAGAATTGGACTCGGTTTTTCCACAAATCCAATTTACCATGGAGGAAGAAACTAACGGAGTGCTCTCTTTCCTCGACGTCCAGGTATCGAGGCAGGAAGACGGAACCCTCCAGACTGGTGTCTTCCGAAAGGCGACAGACACGGAGAAAATTCTCCACTACAACAGCAATCATCCCTTGTCGCACAAGCGCAGTGGTGTCCGGACATTTTTTCACCGCATCCACACACACTGCAGCACAGAATTCGAGAAGCTGCGGGAGCGTAAAACCCTATGGCACCTCTTCCTTGCCAACGGATATCCACGCAGTTTCGTAAACAAATGCTTGTACGGAAGGCACATGAAGACCGACGATGAGCAGAAACAAAGACCAGAAATCTTCCTTGTCTTGCCCTACGTGCGTAACGTCTCCGAAGCCACTGAGCGCATGCTAAGACCGCTAAACGTGGGCGTTGGACATCGACCGGAGGCCACCATCCGCCGCTTAATCATGCAGCCCAAGGACCGACTACCACCTGCAGACACGTCAGGCGTAATTTATCGCGTCAAATGTCTGGGCTGCCCAGCCAACTACTGTGGCATGACCGACAAACGCCTAAGAACGCGCATGCATGAGCACACTTTGGCCGTAAGGCGAAAGGATGTTCGATCGCATGTCGCCATGCACTGTCTGGAGAACAATCACACGCTCGACTTTGACGGCGCCCAAGTGCTTGGCAGAGCGGAAAGCAAACTGGCGAGGGAAGTAATCGAGGCCTGGAAATCGGACACGAACTCTATCAACCGAAGTATCGATTTTCCAGCGCCATACGAGGCCGTCAGGCACCATCTACGCGCGAGAGGGGGGCCAACGAGAAGCGAACGGGACGAACCTATCGGGTGAGAGTGCAGATGGCCTTTTTAAACCCTGTATTTCTCGCTTAGCTTATCTCCGATGATGTGCTCGAGCATGAACACGAAACGTCAGATGAATAAACCTTCTTCTTCAGAGATCGCCTCATCTTCCTCTTCCATATTAACACCTGGGGTCAGGATTTTTTCCTATATCCATATATATAAATAGATTATGACAGATGGGCGCTCACCGATCAGGTTACAGAACATGCTCGTTCTGTTGTGCCTTGGGGCTCATACTTAAACCCTCGCAGGCAGTCGCACAGCGACTAGTGGTATATGTTGATAAGGTGATACGGACAAAGACAAGGGAGACCGGAATGGCCATTTCTGGCTTATTAGCCGTCATCAGCTAGTCATACCCAACCCCAAGTGTGGATCACTTGAGATTCGAACCCGGGATCTTTGGTCATGAAGTTTGACGCTCTACCATTGAGCCACCGGCCCGTTGTCCTGTCGGTTGTGATCGGGAATATCAATTATGATAGTGGGCGCTAACCGATCAGGTTACAGAACACGCTCGTGCTGTTGTGCCTGGGTTCGTATCTCAAGTGATCCACACGGGGTTGGGTATGACTGGCTGATGACGGCTAATAACCCAGAAATGGCCGTTCCGGTCTCCCTTGTCTTTGTCGGTATCACCTTATCAACATATATCTATATATATGTATATTCATACGTGTGAATTTGAAAACGGGCATCCCAAGAATCATAATTCGAAAGAAATAAGCTCTTTGGGGAAGATGAACAAGTTTTATTGTAAATTTTCGATCTTGCACACTTCACGCCTGAAGACGACTTGGGCAACCAAGATCGAAAATGTACAATAAAACTTGTTTATCTTTCCCAAAGATCTCATTTCTTTCGAAATATATATATATGTTATAGAGTAGAAGTGGTAGGCATTCCTAGACGATATAATGAAAAAGGAAGAGGTTCTTCGTAAAAAATCGAGTTGTACTCTTGAATTTTCGAATTGGTGACACCAACCCATCGTCAGACGAAATGAAGAGAAAAGAGAGAGTGAGACAGTCACACTAGACTAATAGATCAGACAGGACAAAGCCACGATATAGAATTATTCCAGCAATACCTCAAATCCCTATTACAAGAGAACGAGAACATCACCGTATTGAAAGCTTTCAGAATAGGACCCATTAAGGATTTGGAGGGCGAGTCGGGCCATCACAGACCATTAAAAATTATTCTCGAAAGTGAGGACAAGCACTATTACTGTTGAATAAGAAACCAGCACTGCGAAATGCCCACCCAACAATTTTTTTTCAACGGGATTTCTCACCGGCCGAACGGGAGAAATGGAGGGAACTCAAGGCCGAACTCCTCAGAAGATACAATGCCGGCGAGAAAAACCTAAGAATAATGAATGGCAAAATCGTAAATGTTCGGAGCTCATTCCTCTGGAAACAACCGATAACACTGAGCATAATGAGCAACCAGATCATAAGGAAAGTACGCCCCTATCTGACAAACCGATCAGAGAAAAAGACGGACAACACACTAACATCCAGTCCAATCAAACAGCAGTAGACTCGGAAGAGAACGATAGACCCGAAAACTCGCGCGAAGTATCCAGCAACTTCGGCCCAAGAATCGCTCGGGAATCTACCCGGTCTAAGCTCCGCTTTCTTTATGCAAATGCTCAGAGTTTGTTTCATAAGCTAGATGAGCTGAAAGTATGGATAACAGATACGCAGCCGGATGTCATTTCTATCACAGAGACTTGGTTCCAGACCGAAGTCTTGGATGCCGAAATAACACTTGAGGGATACCAACTTTTTCGCCGGGACAGACTGCATAGAAAAGGAGGAGGAATAGCGGTCTACGTCAAGAGAGCAATCATCGCGTCGGAACACAAAACCGATTGCTCCGGCGACTGTGAAGCAATGTGGTTAAAATTGAGGATGCGTGGCGCACCTAATTTGAATTTCCTGACCGTATATAGGCCGCCCAATCAAACTGATGAGGTTGACGAGGCGATGTTTGGGTTAATTAAAGAGGTCTCACAAAACCAAGAGGTACTGATAACCGGAGACTTCAACGCACCCATGGTCGACTGGAACAATTTATTAGTAAATGGTTCGCGAAATTCGTTTGATTCCAGGTTCTTAAAACTAACGGCTAATCTCTTTCTGGTACAAAACGTCACGTTCCCAACCAGGATCAGAGCGGACCAAAGAGCAAATTGTCTGGACCTCGTCCTTACAAAAGACCCGATTAGCCCTGGCGAAATTAGGTCCATAACACCGCTCGGTAAGAGTGACCATGTCATGCTGTTTTGGGAATACCGCCTATGCAGCCAACAAGCGAATACGACTGAGCCTAGACTGAATTTCTGGCGAGGAGATTATGCCGCCATGAGAAGGGAATTATCGGCAGTGGACTGGGATGACTTTCTTTCCGGACATCCAGACGTTGATTGGAACGCTCTCAAAGGAGTTGTAACAGACATCATGCATCGAAACTGTCCGACAAAGAGAGTCAAAA